TTTACAAACAGCTGATCATCAAATCATTTCCACAAAAACCCCAAACCAAACAAACAAAAAAAAACCCAGAAAAAAACCACAACACTTGGGAAGCCTTTAGGCACAGAATAGCTTAGCTTTTCATTTCAATAATCCAAGGCAGCAGCTCCCAACATTGTTATTTTTCAAAACCTGATACAAGAATGAGTACAAGAACTCCCGACACACAAAATACTCTTAGATCTACAGCTCACCTTTCATCCCATGTGTTACACAGCAGAATCTTTTTCCCACTCACCACAAAAACAGTAATTCATGGAGTGGACAGGCAACAAGTAATTAATACATTGTGAGTAAGATCCATTCGTGTAAATCATTCTGAACAAAAAAGTGAAAAAGCAGGAGTTCAAGACAAAACATATTCAGTCAAGATACTCTGACAACCATGATCTATTCTTGAATTGTTCATTTCAAAAAGCTGCTTATGAGTTTGACCTAGAGCATGATAAACCACCTATCCAGTAATTTAAAGAAAATAAATTTCAAATTTATTTAAAGACTGACAAAATTAAACAAAGTTATCTCAGAGGAAAAGACAAAGTGTTATTTCAGAAGTTTCAGTCTGTTTCAGTAGAAGGTGGGATTTTATCAATAAACTACCACCACAAAAAGCAACTTAAAAGTCCACTGATGCCAAGTTTCACCTAAAAATATTCTGCAATAAGCAGAGTATCAAACAAACAATATATTAGGCAGTGTCAAGCTAATCAATAGTAAGGACTGCTAACAGAGGCATCACCCTAGGGAATTAATTATCAGTATGAAAAGTCCTCAGAGCCCACTAACTTTTCCCGTCTCTCACCAGGAACCCTGGCACGGCCGACTACACTGTGGGCTACAAACGCAGCTACGCTGCGCCTAGTCCCGAGGGGGTACGTGCGCATGAGACTTACAGGCACACGTTCGTATCTACTAGTGACCTCTGTACCACGGACAATACAGGTATGCTCTTCAGAACGTAACTCCCAATGAAAACAAAGCATTTAGGTCAACTGAATCCACTTGCAGAGCAGGTACTTTTAAAAACTAATCTTATTTTTCTTAAGATTGTATCCAAGTGATAATAATAAAAACCAAGGATGGTCTTTTCTTAAATGAATCCCACTCAGTTACTGTTTTAGTAGGGTTTCTTAATTAGTAATTTGATGGTGACATTACCCCTTCTTTGGAAAGCATTTGGCATTCCCAAATTCACTTCAGTAGTAGGATTTTGCAGCTTCTAACTTCTCCTGTCTTTAAGAATTCCTCTATTATCTTCTATTCTCCTACCCCCACTTCTCCCATTTCCCTCATTTCCACTGCAGAACTTTTGGCAGTATGATTGAAACGGATACCATCTGCAATTAGATATGATCTGAGCAGCACAGGCCTTCTGCCAAAATACCATCCCCTTAATGCAGTCAGCACAAGTAACTTCAGCTGGACTGCAGAATTTCATTTTTGCATCATATATTTTAAAAACATAAAGACTGGCAATTCTTTAAGTGAGAGATACCTTATTGCTGCAGATCAATACCTTTGCAACCATAAAGGGGAAAAAAAAAATTTGTCTTGTCATCTTAGTATAGTAGATGCAAAAAAAAGAGAGACAAACCAATATGTTTGAAGCACCAATTTCAAATTTCCCGCATTTTGCATCCTTCCGACAGAAAAATAGAAGTCCCGATTAGTCACAGTAAGCGCTCTTAACATTGTGGGTTAAAGACCTGTGTAAAAATTCTTTTTTTCTGAGACTAAGACATATAAAGTATTCAGCTACATTGTAATTTTTTAAATGATAAAGACGGAGATCTACTATGGATCTTGATTAAAGGCCTTGTTCTTCTACAAAGAAATGACACAAAAGCCAGATAGGGTAACAGGTTAACTCTGTAGAAGACCTCAAGTCCACAACAAAGTTACACTTGTTTTGCTTCTAAGGCAAAGATAAAACTGTGTAACAAAACTGAGAATAAGCTTTCTAACCCAAGAAGATGTTTTATTTTGCTGACAAGCCCACCATGAATGATGGGCAATCCCAAAAGCTGTAAACAGCCAAATTCACACAAAAACTGACAAACAAAAGCAGCATGTCAGGCAACAACCCTCGTGGCATTCTGACTTCAAGAATATACTTCATGACGGATGTGAAAAAAACACTCCTTTTTTCACACATTCATTAAAAAAAAAAGCATAAATGGAGTACACCTGTGACACACTAGTATCTGTATCTCTATACCGTTTTCCTTAAAATAATCCTAAGCACTTTGCCTCGGTTTCACTACAGTATAGTCTCTGCCTGTATCAGCCAATACATTTACAAAACTCAGACTTGGATAAAGGTTAAACTAAGACCCACAAAGGATTCGTAGAATAGCTTGGTCAATCAATATATAAAGAATTAAAGTTCAAGTAACAGTCAAAATCCCTTCTGAGCTATCAGACTTCACACTGTCTCATCAATCCTGTTCATCACAATAGTCCATTAGGCTTTAATTCCAAGATAAGGGAACTTTAACTGTCTTGGAGACTTAAAATAGTCACTGCCCAACTTATCACCAGCCTCTCAGATTGCCCCCTGTCAACGTGATTAGTACACAAATGAAAAAATAACCTTCTCAGAGGCAAGATAGCTAAGCCTTGATCATTTGATCACCACCAGCACATTTGAAGGTATGAAGCAGGAACTCCACAGGCTAGAATTACTACTGAATTTGCTTTTTTTTTGAAATTGCTGCATCAGATACAAGAGTCAGACACATTAATGTCACTTTCTGTAGTCAGCTTTTAGCCAACAAGTTCAGACCTTAATAATGAGTTCAATAATATAACCATGAGGCTGCGAAGACTGAGGGGTCATGATAAAGAAAGAATCCTTGGCAGAAATAGCAACAGTACTTATGCCCCCAAATCTAACATGTAGCCTAAAAGCATACCAGAAGAATTTCAGCTTGAAGTTATGTGCGTCAGACAACTTCATTAGGAAGATTCTTTGGAGAAAAGATTTCTGCTCAGGTTTGGTTCCCCCCCCCCCAAACAGTGCCTTATTCATATCTTTTATTGTATGATCCTCTTATATATTCTTCGAGTAAAATTACTCCTCTATCTGTTGCTTTCTTCTGTATTACTCCTCTAAGAGGGAAATACAGGGAAAAAATAGCCCACAGACCATAAGAATGTGTAACTATTGCAACTGATGATTCCTTTCCCACAGTCTGTAATGGCCCCTGATGACTTAAACCTGACCATCTGTCATATCACCCATCTTGTATCAGAGCCATAGGACTCAAATAGAAGGCTACAAATTAGAACATTTCCAGAGCACACAATATAGCAAAAGCTGTAAAGAAATTTCCAACTGGATGAATCAGGATGTATTTTTCTCCTTTTGAAAGCCGATGCACTTTCTCGAAAATGTAAGTCTCTTTGTAGTGCAGCTCTAGCATTCAGAATCAGTGTCTTTTCTCTACACCACATTTCAAACTTAAGACAGACAGATTGCCAGAGATTCACTGCTCATCCTGGTCATTGTACCACAAACAAGCTGTTTCCACAAGCTCTTGGAGTTCAAAAATCTTAAGCGTCTAAAATTATCGCTGTCATGTCATGACAGCAGCAAGAAAACCTATTACAGCAGCACCCAGTACTGCTGCTGTAGTTCAGAGCTCGGTGGCAGTTCCGTAACAAATGCCATCTAATGGAGCCTATAGTTCTTCCATTCTGCACTGGTTTGGTCTGAAAATTGGCAGGCAGCGTTGGGATACAAGCACCTGTTTCTACATGAGATGACTTCTAAACATCCCTCCCCCCCCATTTTAAATGGAAATTTTTAAATCCAACCAAAAAAAAAAGTTTCTTCGGGTAATATTCCACATAAGGTCTGCAGATAAGAATTTACCACCCTGAAAAGCAAGCTCTCTTCCGTATGATGCCTCTTCTTCCAATGAAACCATAAATACTGTATATAATTTAAGTGACCACAACCAGGAATTAAATTCCATTGCAGAAGCAGGCTGAAGTACAACGTCTGCTAAAAAAAGGGAGCTGCCTGTATGAAACCTCCTTTGTATTAACAAGCATGAGTAAATACTCAAGTAATCAGACAGAGAAGTAACTCAGTGCTCTTGGAGTGTTACTTCCTACAGGTACAGACAAGGTGACTCTACTTGATCACCTAACAATGAAAATCTACCATAAGCACAGTTTATAGGTATAGCTATTAGTCTACACATGACCAGTGACACTGCAGCAAATGGTATCAATACTGCCTTGACCTTAAGAAGCATGTTGGGGAAAAAAAAAAAAAAAAAAAAGAAAAAAATCAATCAAAAATGGTGTGCCCATATTCAGTTTCCCACAGAAGCGTCTTCTCCTCCAAATTAGACCCACAATAATTATTTAAGAACCCTGACACTTCTAATTGGTTAGAAAATAAGATCAATCTATGTAGTCTGTCATTTCGCTGTTGTTTACACAACTGATCTGGAAAGCATGAAATTTGACAACCTTTTCCCCTCAGCTTTCTCACTCAAATTATGCTCCTAAACACAGGCACAGACTGCAGAATAAGCACACCAAGAACTAAAGCACCAGACCCAAGCAGGAGTTATACCACAATTATCATGTGGTGGTCTGCAACGTATCCCTGTATCTGTCAGTCCACATGATACTCCCACACACTGAAGTCAACAAAAAGGTTTTCACTTTGGTATTCTAATCTTTCTGTAGAATTCTCAACTCACCACAAGAAACACCACGAACAACCGCATCAAAATCAAGATAACCCATGATTTAGACTTTCTAGTCAAATTCAGAAACAATCTAGTTTGTAATGACAGCCTCAGAAGAAAAGATTCCCTAAAAGAGTAATTCTAGATGATATAATGCACACAGTACTTGGTTTAGTCTGACAAAAAGAAGAGGATTAAGCAGGAGGGGAGAGGAGAGAGACAGACTCCCTTATGAGATTAAAATAAACTTACTAGTTGAATTGCCTTGCATCTGAATGATACATTTGGATTCTTTGCTGGTTTCTCGGGAATTGAAGGGCCGGACCCGAACAGCAACCTTCACTGAAGCCCCCGACATTCTGGTCGCTCGTAGTGCAGTCAAGAAATTGAAAGTGAAGTGGTCAAGAGTGTTTCAAGTTATCCTTCTTGTTGGTGTTATCTAAAGAGAAAAGTACAATTTAGTTATTTACAGCTATTGCATTCAAGATGTTGATAAAATTACGGAGGTTCGAAGTCATTTGATAACTTCAATTTCTGCTCTGCAATCACCCTCCTGCCCCTGAAAGCTGTCACTTCAAAGACAGAAGCGGAAATACACTTAACAGCACCTGTACACTGTCTCCCTAGTCCAAAGTTTCTGTCATCTGAAGCAGTTCTTTTGAAGTGTACAAACATATTTGTTTTCATTACTTGGTTTTCTTCCCAGAAAGTAGGGATGCCAGTATCAAAATGAAGATCTGGTTGCAACATGTGTTAGGCTTAACCTAACAAAGATAATTTTAGCAGTAAAGATACAGCTACTTAGATTTCAGCATGACCTAGCTACCATATACTACATATGTAGGTTCTCTAGCTGTCAACCCTTGCTGCCACAATGCATTAACAATAATATTAAAACTAACACAAGTGTGATGGGCCATATCACACTGACTTTCAGTACACACCGTTCCAGAGAAAAGGGTGTACCCAACAACCTTAAAGAACCCTTTGCAGTCCTGGGAAAGTCCTCTTCTCAAAGGAAATAAAACCTCATTAACTACTTGTATATTTAGTGATTAAAGGACACTCTATAAGGAAGAAGAGGAAACAAAAATTATTGCCTTCAACGGTAAATATTACTATCTATCTTCAGCAAATGTTCACCAGTAAATTAATCTTCATTATCAAAATACTTCTTCAAATCCTACCACACCCAAATGATGGAGTGTTTTAGTTGGCAGGAAACTATCCCTGATACCCACAATCCAAACTTCAAGGCATGTCCGAGACAGTATTGAAATGTAGGGTTTATAAAGATTGGTTCAATTGTATTGTCCTCAACCAACCTTTTCCATTAGAAGAAAGTTTTTCAGTTGGTCTACAATTAAGCAGTTTAACTTATTGCCACAGGATACTGTCAGTACTGAAGTTAGAGAGACTCAAGAAGCAGTAACATAGATTCAAATAAAAAGCCATCAAGGTCTAGTAAAAAGCTACCACCCTTGGCTAGGAAAGCCTCCGTGGCACAGACTCTCAGAACCTGGAAGACTATACTGAGAAAACATGATTACATGGTTGATTTATCCTTGTATTCTCAATACCTGCTACGGCCACTGCTGAAGACAGGATTCAGGGCTAGGTGAATCTTTGGTCTGACTCAACGCAGTCATTTCTATCTTGAATCTGAGTTAACAAGGCAGAACTCTACCCTGCACAAGTCGCCATGCATGGCCCCGAAATCTTGACATCATCTTTTCTGGTTATCTATACACCACATATCCAATGAAATGCTCAGTTCAGGGTTGTAATCACAGTGCCACAAAAGTACAAAACTTACTAGCAGATCTAAAGCAGAAGCATTTCAGCTCTAAAGTAAGTTCTACAGCTGGTAAAAATACTTATACAGGCTTAATTCAAGTTATGACATATCTTCACACAATATAAAAAGTATTAATTAAAACTGCATTACTTCATTAACGCCATCACATGGTGGAGGCGGAAATTAAATTACTCCACCAAGTAATTTAAAGCATTCCTTATTTTAGCAGGTTCCTGAGGTACCTCACCAGACTGGAGGAATGTCTTTATGAACAAGACAACTGAATTTCAGTATCAGTGGTACAGCAAACTGGTAGAATAACAATTCATGAGACAGCTGCACAGTCCACTTTAGGTTAGTACAGAATTTTAACAAGTTTCCCTAAAAATTTAAACATAAAATAGAGCAAAGCAGTAATGGGAATGAATCTGCATGATCTTCAAAGTTTAACAGAGATTCTGGGTTGTTTTAGAAGACTGCTTTATTCACTCTTGCTCAGAGGCGCCTACTTTTTTGTATAACAACGGGTATCAAACATGTAGCTTCATTATAACCTTCTTCCTGAGTACCTACCCCGTGGAATTTTTGTTCTCCCTTCTTAACATGACCCTTGCATAAGTCCCCGTGCCCTCACATGACAGCTAAGTGACAAGACTAATCCTGATACATCCCAGTAGTATTATCGTTGCTAGAATGTTGCTAGAAAACAGGAATGTTACTGTATATGGCCACTAAGCATCCTGTTTCTGAAATACAATTTAAGAAATCCATCAAGTGCAAAATCTGTGTTATTATCAAGTTCATAGTTACACAGTTTACTTTGTCAGATTGCAGAAAAAGATGAGTAGGTGGAATTTCCATAGGGTGTAGCACATCACTGAAACTCCACCTGACTTCAGCTTAGTGGTTCTCATCTTTCTTTTCCCCATCTATCCATATTAATGTGAAAACCGTAATTTTTGTCAGCTTCCCACAAGGACCAATTAATAAAGGTAAGGCCATTAATGAAGGGGATTTTTTTTTTTAAAGAAAACAAAAAAATACAACCAATGCGTTCTTATAATATTCTTTATGAAACATAGGGAGCTTATTTTCCCTTCTTACTGAAGAGTCCCACATACAAAGATTTTTTTTTCTGATGTTTTCATAGAAATACCTCTTAGGTACTACATTAATTTCTACAGATAACTAGTATATCTAGGAAAATGGCAAACAGAAGATGGAGTGAAAGAATACTCTACTTTAAAAAAAAAAATTCTGGAGTACCTCTGAACACCATATTCACAATAAGAAAGCATGAAAAGCACACTGCCAGAGACTCTATATGCACTAGCTAAATGATAGCCTTCTTTGAAACACAGCTGTGAAGAAATTCTTACAGAACAGGTCACAAAATCACCTACAACAGCATAAAAATTTAAGTGCTAGACTTTTGCAATTACGAACTTTTCCCAACCCTAACTTTTGTGCTCATAGAAAATTAAATGTGGTGTAATTTTAAGTCTCACTCATTCTCAACTCTACTACTTTTCATAGCTGAAGTACGCAAAATGCCTACTTGTAGTTGCACATGGATTTCAGATGTTTTGAACATCATCTCACCATGCAAGATTTAATTTTCCATAATAAGAAAATTAACCAAAACCGATGTATTTTTCCAAGCTTCCCATAAATTTAAGTTGTTGGGGTTTTGAGGGGTTTTTTTCCACTTATCAGCAACTTTAACTGGTTGTAACATTTTATAAAGGCAGTATTGCCTTCATCATACAGAACGATAAAATAAGGCAAAATGAGACCAAGTCGCATAGCATCAAAGATAATAAATTGCAACTGGTTTTTCAGGGTTCACATTTTCCAGTAGTATCGCTTACTACTACAAAATGCTGTCTACAGAGTGGTAATAGGAGACTAACTTGCAACAGAGCATAACAAAATGTGCAATACAGTCTGTGGTACAGATTTAGAGGAACAATCTTCAAAAAAAAAAAAAAAAAAGAAGCTGTCTTTTATGTGTTCACTGTAGGCTTAGAAGGCTGCCATTCATGCTAGAATGAATCATTCTCCTGATGTCTTGGAAAGAGTCTACCAGCTGTGTATCTTTTCACATTCAGCCTGTATGAACCCAATCAGAAACCAAGTAAAGAGGGGAGCTGCATGCCTGAGTCTTTGACATGATACACCACTGGCTCTAAAACAGGTGGTAGGTAATATTGCCTTGTTTAGTGAGCTCCATCAGCATAAAAGCAAATCCTACGTGATAATTTTACATTTATTTTAAACTATTATTAAAAGATATCCACCATCCACCCTTTAAGTCACACAGTAAGGTTTTAATATTAAAGCGTGCCATTAAACAAATCATCCAAACATCCTGTTTTCTGTTATTCAAGCTGACAAACTGAATGATGGTGGTCAATCACCCTTCATGGTCTCAAAGCACTTGTAACTAGATTTGGACTTTCACACAAGTGTCTGAAGAAACAAGCTGTTCATTAAGACTTGGCTCCCTGGATGTATTTGAAAGTTCTGACAAACCAGTTTTTATGCAATGTCAAAATACAGAATGTATTACTATTGTTTGAAATAAAGTTACAAGCAGAGTAGGGATCTAGAGTCAAATTATTATTTATATATTCAGAGAAGTTTGCAACAAGTTCAAAGTGGTTACAAAAACACTGTTCAGAATCTGTATCTCTACATCCAAATTCAAAAAAAAACCCCAAACCACCACACATTACAAGTGAAGAATCATCACTTTTATTTAACATAGCCAGCCATTGTGTCGTATTCACATAGGTATGCCTACCAGAGAATGTGCTAACTTTTAAACCAAAAAATTGCTTGTAACTTAATCAGTACAAGAGCTCTAAAGAAAGAAAATGAACGAGGATAGAGATTAGTATATGGCAGGTTAGCAAAACAGCTGTTCAGAGCAGCAGGGGTTTATGAACAAGAGGACCACAGCGAATCCAATTTTAGGTCCTCCACTAAGGATCAGGCAGTGATGACAGTGTGATATATCAGCTGAACTGACACACTACGAATGCTATCTTTGTACCAAGCAAAGACACCAGATAGAACAGCGGTGCAGAACGTGGCGACGCACGGAAAATCCGATCATATCAACATATAGCTATTTATCAACACACCAACGTGCTGGATTGCGCAATAACTAAAAGAACTGAGCTAAAAAGGAGCCGGAAGCGAAGAGAAATACACTTTAAAATTTGGTATGACGGTATTTCCCGCTTGAGAGAACAGACACAAATTCACCACCTGCTTCTGGTGAATCCTGGCTCTCCAGCCGCAGTCT